CAAAATTTTTTGAAATATTTTTTTGCAATCTCGTCAAAGTCATCAATATTTCTTTTCTTTTTCTTTCCATCATCTTTTTTTTAAATATCCCACATTGAGATTCTTACAGTTTTTTGTGTATATATATATATATGTAACTAGTAAGTTATCCCAAATAACTTGACTCACTTTATAGTCCACCCACAGAAGGTTAACCAATCAGCAGACGGAGAACATTCAATCTGTCGTGTATAAAGGCGGCCATTTTGTTCACTCTACCCGAATGTTCAGTCCAGCTTGTCAGGCGAGGAGAAGCAGAAGGACGAACTACGCTCTGCTACTTTTACCAAAATATCCACAGCTAACCTGAACAACGCTTTCCTACTGTCTTCGAAATATTCACTGCTAGCCTCTGGATTCTATACTCGAAGACGACCGTCATTATGAATAACAGAGATAATAGAAGATCTGCCAAGAATGGCGAAATGTTTTTAAAAAGTGGAGCGAGAATATTGAACATTGAAAAACAAAAGAAAAAATTAATTATTTTTAATAATATGTGGAAATCTCCACTTTTACCTGAAGACGGTCACGAGACCAGAAACACGTGTAGTACAATTATGTAAAACAAAGCATAATATTTTTTTCTAAATAAATCCACATTACCACCAAAAACGTTTGCGGCACCTCTCTTCTCTTCTTTTTAATATACATACTTTTCTCTCGTTGCAACCACTACAACCTCTTTCTTTTATATATATATATATATATATATATATATATATATATATATATATATATATATATATATATATATGTGTGTGTGTGTGTGTGTGTGTGTGTGTGTGTGTGTGTTTTATCATTCTGTCCTATCTACCCAACAGAATTATTTTATTTCCCAAATATTTCCTTGCCTTTCCAATGCGCCTAAAGATACACAATAAACCAATATGGTAGATATTATGCATTAATAAAATAAGGTAAAATTTACTATGAATAAAACTGCGGTCCTGCTGCACTTAACTGTTACAGTGATATAGCATATGTAAATATAAAAGTGGATGATACTGAGGTCAACAGCAAGCGCCTGATAACGTGTTTCATAGTTCAACTCAATCTTCTGGCCTCAAATGTCTACTGACAATATATATATATATATATATATATATATATATATATATATGTTTGGACAATAAAAAATATTAAAAAAAATAAAATCTTCAGACACACTGGGTTGTATATTAATATTCTTTCGTTTTTGTTTGTTTTTTTTTTTTTTTGTTTTTTGTTATTATTCTTTCAGTTAGATTCCTCGATTATTTTCGGCCAACATGTCCATCATCAGGAGAAAAATAATTTCTGCTTGCTGGTAGCAATGAACTAAAGAAATGAATGTCTTGATGGAGAAAACGAAATTTTGTCTGTAGTTTTCATTTGTTTTGATTTTTTTTAATTTTCTTAGCATGAATTTTGGTAAGTCCTTGTGTGGACAAACAGTCTCTGTTAAGTTGTTATTTAAGATAAGAGCTAGACGGATTCATGCTGCTTTGAATTCCCTTGATTATTTTGACAGTTTTATTGGTTCCTGGAAAGGGGATGTGTTTCTAAAGTTATCTGCTGAACTTTCCTATTCTCTCAATTATCGTGAAGTTATCATGTGTTTTTGTAGGCGGAAATATTGTTTTACAGGTAACAATCTTTCATCAAAAGTCGACTTAATTCGATTGCGATAATTATTGAAACTGAGGTGAAAGAGCCACTCAGATTTTCCAACATATTGTTTCTGTTATAGTGTGCATTCTAGTAAGTAAATTATGTTATGACTTCTACAGTTAAAGTCGTGATAAATTTTGAAAGTGGATTTAGTGATTGAGCTAGTGAATGAATTCGTGTGTCTAATGTGGTTGCAGCATAAGCTTCTTTTGTTTCCTTTTGTTGGGAAAATACACATATATATATATATATATATATATATGGACAGATTCAAAAGCTTTCAGCTCTGTATAAAATGCCATGATGTAGCCAACGAATCCTTTCCTCTTACATTCACAGCACATGGTTCTTGATAATTACTGTAACGGTTAAAATTGCTTGACAAAAAATAGACAAAAATTAAGCAAATTTCCGGTGTTTTATTCTATTTACAGAATAAAAGCACAGTTTCTTACTGGGTATTCAGTCTTTAGTTTTCAAAAGAAATATGGAGTCAAAAAATGTTTACAATCATCATAAGTAATAAATTCCATGATGGACGATTTGAATAAATACTCAAACAATCCGAAAAAGATACGATGAAAAGCCCGACTGATTTCCCAGATTAAAAAAGTGAGAAAATTATTAACCACTTCATAAGGTAATTAATGAATATCTCTTAATACCTGAAAAAAATCAGAGATGAATATCAAACAGGACTCATAATTACATATTTGCAAAATGATTCTTCTTTTGCTGGGTTAGTTGGTTCTTTTATTTTTCCTATTTATTATTACTGAAGGAATTTTATTCCACGAATTTATTGTGAAAGTCTTTCTGAAGGGGAGAAAATGACAGTAAACAGAGAGAGTCTCGATATGGTTACTGAAGTTGAAAGCGATAAACGAAAAAGATGAAATATTTTATGAAAAGAAATGAAGTAGAAAAAGGGGAGTTGAAATCGAAACCTCACTGAAGGACATTTATTATAGAAGAGAAAACAAAACAGACGAAAACTATTAGGCGTACAATTACCGATAAGATTCTCGTTTTTTTTTTGTTTTTTTTTGTTTTTTTTGTTTTTTTTTTTTCTCACAGCCACGGATGTGGTTTAACCTTTGATCATTTCTCGACAGTAAACGAGAACAAACACAATAATAATAATAATAATAAAAATAATAATAATAAAAATAATAATAATAATAAGAAGAAGAATAGAAGAAACAATGCTAGAAATTATTTCATTCTGACGCCAATTTAAGAATTTCTTGACAATTATTTTTGTTTTAAAAAGTTGAAACACGCGATTAGAAAAAAATCGAAAAAGAAGAGGAAGCTATAAAATTGTCATCATTCGTTATTAGACAGGAAGCTAGCTTCTCAACTGTACCGGTTCCGTTTCATCTTCATAACGTATTATTATTATTATTATTATTGATTTTATTATTCTTATTCTTATTATTGATTTTATTATTCTTATTAGTATTGGCGTTATTATTATTATTATTATTATTATTTTCTTTGATTTCTGGCGTTTTTTTAAACATTTCTTTCCGGGTCCCCTTGGGGGATGTCTAAGGTTAGAAATGGCGTCATGACACTTTCCACTGACAAAAAAAAAAAAAAAAAATTAAATTACATAGATAAAGCCCTTCGTAAGTGTGGGATGTACTTTAGTCAGAACAATTTTTTGTATCTCCTTGAGGTATGGACTTTTGGGAATCCCTTCAATTAGTCTACTGCAATCTTTTCCAACCAGTCCTAGGGCTTCAACTTGTTTTCACCAAATATTGTTGATGTTCCCCTATACCACATTTTCGAGATTTCTATTTCAATTATCTTCACAGTCCTTGTACTTTGACAACTTTTTTTTCCTGAATATCTTCAAAGATACATTGCAGTCAGCATGGACTGCCATATCAATAAGGGAGGCACCGTTTTTTTTTTTATATCTTTATTCTTTGTGTTATAACAATATCCCTGGCCGTTTATCCAGTTGGCCATTTTTTGATTGTTCTGTCAGTGTGTATTGTGTAATCCCCGGGGGATAGAATTGTAACGGGTTGTTGTTCGAGTTCCTATCTCGTAACCGCTGGTCTGGGTTTAAAAACAATTTATTGGTGTTCCATATTCCTAGAAAGTTATTATTATTATTATTATTATTATTATTATTATTTTTTATTATTATTGATTTTATTATTATTATTAGTATTGACATTATTACTATTATTATTGATGTTATTATTATTATTGTTATTATTGATGTTATGATTATTGTCATTGTTATTATTATTAATAATATTATTATTGTTTTTATTATTATTGTTAATAATATTCGATATAGTTATCACTTCAATAGCTAATGGTTTTCATTACAAAGCAAATGAAAAAAATACAAACTCGTATATTTTATTTCTTTTAGAAAACGGTGATTTAATGATTGATTGACAAAGGAGAAACATTTTATTTTATAAAATTCACTAAAATAGGTAACTTAATTCTTTGCGTAATCCCAACCGCCCTTAGATATATATTACTGAGGTTGCTTCAATCGTTGTTTAATTTGTTTTATGATTGTATTTATTAAATAGAAACGAGAAAGTACATTTCACAGTAACTAAACTAGTCGAATGGGGAAAATTGTTGAATGCAGTATAAAAAAATAACGTATTGTTCTCTCTGTTTAATTCTACGTTTCTCATTTTTCTTTCCTTTTATTTTTTTTTTGCTTTTTTATTATTATTATTGACATTATCACACTGACGATTTAAATGGACTTGGTTAAGATAAACTCAAATCTGAAAACTTTTGTTTAAAAACATTTTGCTTTTGTTTTTAATTTTATAAAAATTCATATTTCTTTTTACATTTGTATATATATATATATATATATATATATATATATATATACCCCAAATTTTTCTAAAAGAAAAAAATATATAAATTTAAACGTAAATTCTTTTTGTATATATATATATATATATATATATATATATATATATATATCAAATTTAAAAGAGCGAAAAGAATATAAATTTAAACGTAAATTCTTTCATTATATATATATATATATATATATATATATATAAAGTTCTATAAAGTTCTGAGAGAGTTTCTTTTACTTTTTGTTCGGGTGTTTTGTATAAATGTTGGAGTAAGTATGGATGTGTGTTTGATTTTATTTATCTTGCAGACACGCGAAATTATTCAAGTGAAGTATATTCTTTCCGGCTTGAAATGTTTGATCTTTTCCTATATTCGTTTGGTTTGAATTTCAATGTACAACGTTTCCTATTTATCTCGGTTAAGTCCTCTCGAAGTTATGATCAATGCGGCCTCGAAGTCGTCGATGTTTCGTGTTTTCCTTTGCCCTACTTCTCATTGCACTGACCTTTTCCAGTATCTACAGGCTAGAATATATGCACGAATGGGCAAATATATGCGTCTATCTGTCTCTTCGCTTCTTTAGAGAAAAGTTGAAGCGTATATATGTGTATACATATTCAGTTTTACTAAGTTTGCCAACAGACAACATAGGTTTGAAAACAAAAATATTGTTTTACGAGATTTCTTGATCTTCTACAGAGGGTTGTAGTAAGAAAAGCGTAAGAAGACTGAATGCATGGTTGTCAGTAAAAAGAAAATCTATTGTGTGAATTACAAATTGGCAAAACCAAAGACAAGCAAGTAAAAAATATAACTAGGTGGGAATTTTTTTTAACAGAGAACGGAGAATGTGACACCGAAATCCGAAGGAGCATTGGTATAGTGAAAAATGCCTTCTAAAAGCTCCAATTAAGAATATTTCATTAAAAACAAAGAAAAGAACATATTTATCAACATATTTATATCATGAGTCGAAAGGTTTCCTAGTTAAGATTCAGATAATATTTCTGAGGAAATTTTCCTACTTTGGAAACAATTTTAATTGCAGTTGTTCATTGAGTGATGAGATGACAATCTACATAAGAACTATAGTAAGGTTTTTTAGAATCTGGAAGATCATTTACGGACAAGTAGAGACATTAAATATAGTATGAGGGTGGCTTGAAAAGTTCATAGGCTGACCAAGATACTCTGATAGAATGCGTCTAAATGAACTCTATTTTTCATCATAGTTCCCCTCTTGTGATCCACACGCTTCTATCATCAGTACTTGAATCCCATTGGTGAAGCTTACATACTGATGGTCCAAAAAGTCATCAACAGCAGATCTGACGTCATCATAACTGCTCCCATCCAAGGGATATTTTCATATTGGGGAACAGATGATAGATCAGCTAAAACATGAGAATAGGGAGGATGATCAACAACTGATACCAATGACTTTAGTTCTGGAGATTGTCCTGATGAAACAAGACCTTTCATCAGTCTTCTTGGGTATTTGTCATAAAATCCTTTCGTAACTACCTCACAAGTTGATGCCATGAACCATTTCAAATCAATTAAGAATAATTTTGCATCCCAGAAATATGACGCCATCATCTTCCCTGCAGATGAAACCACTTTGGAAATCTTTGGACCAGTTTTCACTGTACTGAGTGTCTCTTTGTCTCTAGCTAAAAATGATGAAGCCAACACTGATCCTGAGTCGGGAAACAGTGAAGGGAACCGACTGGATCTGCCTGTGACGCGATCAGCTGATGCCCTTTTTATCCTGTGTCAGATGACGTGGCACCCACCGAGCAGAAACAGTCGTCATGCCAATTTCATTTTGCAGAATATGTTCAACTCTCTCATAGGATATGGTAATTTAGCATTGGCTATTTCATTTATACTCTATCGCCTGTCATCCATTAACATCTAGAGAAAACAACCCATGTTTTCCTTCGTGATGGCAGTTGCAGGAGGTACAGCTCTTGGGTTACCTTCTAGACTTTCCCTTTCTACCTCCTAAATACAGTTGTCCACATTTGTACTGTTGATGAAGCGTCATACCCTAATGCAGCAACCATGTCAACATGAATGTCTTTGAGGGCTAAACCCTTTTTCTGCAGGTATTTGATAACATCACGATGCCAGATTTTGTCCATTGTAAAAAGAGTTCGCTACTAGTTACTTTGAAATGTTCTTTAAACAGTAGGATATCAGTTTACCTGGAAATAAACAATGCAGTTATAAATAAGAAGAGTTGAAATTTAATGCATACAAGATTTTTCAGTTCTAGCGTTAGTCCTTCATAGTCAGTTTCTGAAATTTTCAGTCCACCTTAAGATTTTAGTTTATAAAGTACTAGTAGGATTCTCTCGCTATCGCTTCGCAAATAAGATATATTTACTACTTGAAATCTTTGAAACAAAAATTTTAATTGAACATTTCATTCATAAATTGGCTTGTTATAGTTAAGGAAATTTTTTACAAATAGATGTCAACTTGTTGAAATCCAAATAAAATGCAAATTTCAAACACTTTTCTGCACTATATAAGACGATATTCCTAAACAGAAGTATTTTCTATATTAAAATCAAAAAAATCCTCGAATAAAAGAAAAGTAATGAAGGGCAGTTAATTAATGAAATAAACTTTCAAAAAATCATATGCAAATTATTTAAACCTGAAGTGATATTGCGTTGAAGTAGATAATATAAAATACAGATATTGGACTAGTATAAAGTAGAGGAGGGTCTTTTCAGTCTGAGAATTCGTGGGAGAATTGAGCTCCTTTTATTCATATAGATTCCATAATATAGGTTTTACTTAATTAGCTATTATGTTTCTCTAACTCTTCAAATGTTGAATGTATAACTAATTCTAATTTCTATTTTTACACTATATTAATTTTATCTTATAAATTGTCCCCTGTTCTGTCACCCATGAAATAAAAATAATTGTTTGTACCGAAAATAAGGATCTACGCACATCAAATCGTCTTTAAATTAAGTGGCAGCAGAAGAAATATCGTTGAACTTTTAAAAGGTAAGCTTAAACATTAATTCAGTACTTAAATGCAGCGCTAAATTTTTAGTTCTTCTGTCACATCTATTTCTCCCTACCTTAAAATTTCGCCTAGCTTAAAATTTTAAGCTAGCTGCAATTTTGGATTCAAAGGAAAATAAGAGTTACTTCCCTTGAACAACGATAATGGCTAGTATAATATATTAAAACATATATTAAAATATAAAAACATATATTAAAATATATTAATCTCGCATAATCTGGCAACTCTGAATCTGAGCTCAACGAAAATCGTTCCCTGTGCCTAATTTTTCTAGGGCTTTTGAATGAACTATGATTATTTGAAATAGGACCAGTAGGGGCGGGGGGTTGCTTGGACGCACACACAAACACTGTATTTTATATAAAATATTTGAAGTATTGAAGGAGATTGATGAGGAAAAGAAACGTGTTATATTTGACAAAACAAGGAATTTATTTACAAATTTACACGTTTGAAGTTGTCAGTAGCTTGTTTCAGGAAAAGGAATCAAATATTTAAAGTTCGTAGTTTCGATGAAGTGTCAAGAAGAGAAAATGTTCATATTAAATCGTCCGACACAAAACCATATTACAAAATGTTTACAACAAATTGAAAGTATTCGTTTTTCTCATAAAAGTTATACGATTGTATTCAACATGAATGAAAAGATATATTTTAAGGTACTTAGCCTTGGAGCTGAAAAGAGTTCTTTGAAATTGCTCTGCTCTCTATTGAGATAACGTACCAGCGTTTAATTTTACGCCGGCGTTATTCAGACGCGTGGAACTCTGGCTTTCTGCGTCCTGCTTCTTTCTGCTCGCTCTCTCTCTCTCTCTCTCTCTCTCTCTCACACTCTCTCTCTCTCTCTTTATTCAACTTTCTCTGCTTATTTATATCAAAACTTGATTACACATCAGCTCGTTGCTTTTTCTCAGTTCGTAAGCAGCTCTCTTTTCCATTCGTCAAAATAAATTTTCATAGGCTTGTTAAAATTTGCCTTGGTGTTTTTTTTTTCCAGACCGGAGCCAATATTTTTTTCTATTGGTCATAATAAACTTTCCTCGCGAATTTGAAAACAGTGGCGAAAAGAGACATTGTTATTTCATATTTACCATACATTTCTTCTTGCTTTCTTTGCTCTCGTGAAACCCATGGTAAAGTTCCAAAAAGATATCTGGACTTACTTTCTGTCTTGAAAATCTATTAGTTGTCAAAGACACCGGACACTGACATTCTGTAAGCGATTGGCATTCCCAGTATTTAAATAGCAATCCATACATTCAGGCTACATTAGATAGGTCATTTGCCCAGAGACGATAAGCGCATCAGAAAACATTTAGTGTATGGGCAAATAAAAGGTCAAAATATAAGGTCACAATATACGTATATGGGAGACTCTCTCGTCGTATTCGACGTATGAGGGTCAAACAGCACATGAGATTTGATTACAGTAGTGAAGGCTTTGTGACAAAGCACAACCACACTTTTTGAAGGGTCGAATACCCTGGTGCACTACGTGCCACAAGATCACCAAATTACCCTCTGCAGGTTTTGAATTCAGAGTCGTCCTCCTTCTAGACCATTTCTCATCCAAGGTTATAGATCTTTCTTGCTATTTACCCATAGCTGAAGGGAGGAGAAGAGGCTTAATACCTTTCCCTAAAAGGATTAGCACGTAAGTGAATTTAATGGATTCGATTGCAATTCTAACGCGGCTCTCCGATTACTCCATCTGAGCCACTATACACTACTCCATCTTACCTCCATATATATATATATATATATATATATATATATATATATATATATATATATATATATATATATATATATGTGTGTGTTGTGATGTGTGTGTGTGTGTGTGTGTGTGTGTGTGTGTGTGTGTGTGTGTGTGTTCTATTGAATATTACAAACGAAGAAACACATCTTTTTCATTAGGTTTTTCTTTCACTTTTTCTTGTGGGTGGAGCTAAGTGTGTAGAAATTGTTTATAGTTATTATGGTCCTACAAGAGTCTCTTTATGTGAGTTTCATTATTTTCACTATTTACAAGCAGATAACTGTACTCAACTGTTATAAGAAACGTTCCGGATGTTGAGCCCTCTGGACTCCGTCAGGTGCGTATTATGTCGGGTAACTCAGAGGGAATTACAAACTGAACCTTTTATTTAATTCTCTACAGGTTACCCGGATTCAGCATACACCTGAGGAATGCCGGTGGCCACAACGCCAGAAACGTTGTCACAGACGATAACAACAGATGAGGACAATAATGATAAACGAATACTACAAAGATGAGGACAGTAGTCCGTTTGTAAATAGTGTGAATAACAATAACTCTCATCCCGAATTCAAACAGCAGATTGCCCCATATGTCATATTAAATGAAATATGTATATAAGAAAGGTTGCTACAAAAATATACACCATATATGCGTGTGTGTGTGTGTGTACGCACCCTTTGTGATAGTTAACAAATAAGGTCAGCCTGTCTAATTCTTATTGTATTTTTACAAATTTAGAATAAACTGTTTAAGTATTATGTTTTGTGTTGTTTTTGTTCAAGTACAGTTCTGGAGCATGTTGCTCAACTGCTTTCTCGAGAGCCTGTACATTATAATGCTCTATAAGTTTTGTATGGAGTTGAGGTCAGGAGATTGGGGCAGCCATGTCATAACACGCACCTGCTTCTCATCAAAGTATCCCTTCATCAATTTTGATTTGTGACAGGTAGCATTATCCTGCATAAAAATGAGCTTGGTTGGGTCGATTTGCACCCTTTCAGCAGAAGGGAGCAGACAAGACTCTAAAATTCTCTTGTACTGCTCGCTCCTGAGGGTCTTTTCAATAGGTTTTAAGAAACCAGTTCCATGAAAAGAAAAGCATCGCCAGAACATTATACTGAACGGATGCTTGACAGTAGTTACTGCTAAATTCAAAGAGCTTTCAAAGCTTCTTCTTCGGATTTTAGATCGCTTATCCTTTGAATTTAGCTCAACTTTCGTTTCATAGGAGAAGAGAACATTTAGTAAAAAAAATCAGGTGAGTCACTTTTATCGAACAACAATGTAATTTTAACACTCTCAGCGATTAACAAGCACTGAATTTTTTCAATATAGCAAACAAAATGTATTGGCTACATTCCAACATTTTGGGGGCACCATAGCTGTTAAATGACGTCATATGCAAAACGGTTTCACATAGCTCCACAGAATCGGAGAAGAAAGTATCAAATATTTTATACCCATTTTTATTTTGTATACAAATTATATATTTTATACGCACTTTAAAACACCGTGTGTTTTGATGGCAGGTGTTCTATTTAATGCGTGTTTTTTCTTTTACATAACAGCTTCCTGTATTTTGAGGCATTCTTTGGAGTAAACGTTGTATAGTCTTTGGCATCGTTTACTAATATTTATCTTAATGATAGTCGCATGATCGATACATCTACGAATTATACTAAGTACGACCAATGATTGCGTAGTGATTGTGTGGCTACTTTTAAGAATATAACTTAATTTTTTTATTGTTTGGTTTGGCTTGGTTTTGTTTACATCATATCAACCACAATGTGTTATTTAATGCCGACAAAATTTGTTATTACTGCTAATATTTTTTTTCCAAAAATGTATTGCTGGTAATATTTTTTTTCTTCAAAAATCGATTGTTGGTAATATTTTTTTTTCAAAAATCGATTGCTGGTTATATGTTTTGTCTTCAAAATTCTATTGCTGGTAATATTTTTTTCTTCAAAAATCAATTTCAGGTAATATTTTTTTCAAAAATCTATTGCTGGTAATAATGCCGGTAATATTTTTTTACATAAAAGTATTTCTGGTATTAAAACCGGATTTTTACATTTTCATGTTTTAACCCCAGTTTAGGGGATAACTATTTGCCCATAGCTGTGACCCTAACAGGTGCTACCACGCCAGATCAGTGTTGGACCTGGGAACACCATCAATTAAGAGGTGGCTCCACGATTCTCAAAACCTCCTGATCAGAGGCCATGCTGTCGGATGTAGTTTATTGTCTTACCCAGGACGCGGATGTAGTTTATTGTTATACAGGCGATGAAAGAATTCATAAAGAACATTAATTGTACATTGGGGTATTTTTGAGGTGCCGAGTAAGTGGACGTGATTAGTTTGTCTGGCACAATATTCAATAAATAATTTTTTCAGCAGAGGAGAAGGTATTTTAATGTGTGTATAAAATGTCTAATATGTCTAGGAAATATTAATAAAACGTATAAATATTTGATACATATTTTCAGGTGCGGTCGAACTTTGCAATTGATATCACTTAGACATTACGTGTATATTTGAATTAATTTGAAATCTAGCATAAAACTGTAAAACAATCACGTGGTCAAGATAAACACTCAGTTGTAGAGCAAGCTGAGTGAATAATAACTCAAACTTAAGAGAGCTATTCATGGTGCTATGGAGCATCTCATTGTGGTAAAGTGGGATAGTCCATTGCTTGGGCTGTGATTGGCTGCTGGTACATGAGTGGAGGTATTTCTCTATAAATACCAGCTTGATTCATCAGTTAGTTTGCAGGGTTTGTATTGAGTTACGACCTGCTTTATTTTTGTCTGCCAGCTGGACGCTAGCTGGGACACTTACGTCGGTAAGTACTGTTTATTGTATTGTTATTCTACAAAAACCACCAGCCACATGACACTGTACATTTCTTGATAAGGATTTGAACAAAAATAGAAGAAAAAACGTAGTTACGAATATAAATTTAGAAAAATTTAAATAGGGATGCTTTCTTGCTTGCATTTATCAGAATCTATCGATTGTCACTAGGAGTTCCACGTCTTAATCATTCATCAGACCATGTCATATATATATATATATATATATATATATATATATATATATATATATATATATATATATATATATATATATGACATATATAAATGACATATATATATATATATATATATATTACATATATAAATGACATATATATATGACATATATATATATGACATATATATATATATGGCATATATATATATATATATATATATGACATATATATATGACATATATATATATATATATATATGATGAGATGTCTAATTAGACATTGAAACAAATATGCATTTTTGTCATGGTAACATGCATGTTTCAATGTAACTGTTTATAATAAATATTTACTCTTATATTGAACCCTTTTTTAAATTAATGTTATGAACGTTTGAATTTATATTCTTTTCGTTCTTTTACAAATATATATATATATATATATATATATATATATATATATATGATGAACTCTCCCGTTGAGAAACGTATGAGGTTCCGACGACGACCTACTAATTATCTGTATGCCTATGATGGGCATGACTTTTGATTACGGCTCGGGAATTGCACAATAGGCTACAAAAAGTACAGGAAAAAGTACTACATGCAAGTGCAGCAAGAAAACTCTTAGCTGTTTTATTTCCCTTCCGTGTTTCATGCAGTTGAATGATGCTTGCTGCTTGATGGTACTTTATTCTTCCATAGCAACTGGAACGATACTCTGATCCCTTACAGCTACTTCTTCAAAGTTCTTGAATGGAATGTTCAACCAAAAGAGGTTGCTTTTCAGTTTATCTTTACACCTGAGCCAACGTCTACCAACATTTGTATGACCACTTCATATATATATATATATATATATATATGTATGTGTGTGTGTGTGTGTGTGTGTGTGTGTGTGTGTGTGTGTGTGTGTACACTGAGGTCAAAACCGAGCGGCGAGAGTCTGTTCCATCCTTGAACGCAATATACAGACCATGTAAAATACTTTTTGTCTTGACTATTTATATATGCTTGAAAAGAGTGCATTATGGGTAGCAAGTTTTTTTGTATTATCCTAACGGTTATTGCGGTAACGGTTGTCCTTCAAGTTATTCCAGAGGCAATTAAGTAGAAATAAATGTTAATCTGAATGCAGTTATCAGTAATGTTATAGTGTTGCTTTGCAAATCTTTACTGGTTATTTATTATTGATTCCCTAATTATTTGTCACTGATTATTATTAT